TGGGAGAAATGACTGGAATGGCAGGGGTATTTTGGAAGTGAGGTGAAAACCTAGTACAATGGAAATTTCATGGTATTTATGAGAGTAACCCTAGCAAAGACTCCTAGTAATTATAGACACACAGCTTGAACTGGTCTTCTTTGGTAACCAGGCAAGCCCTCACGTAGAAGGATTACAACAACAAACCAGCCACAAAACCTTTGACCTCCACTTTGTCCTGCCTGCAGAGTGTTCTGGGACAGGAGCCTACCATAATCATCATTAGAGAAATCAGAACGACTTCATCCAGCAACTGATGGGAGCTGATGCCGAGTACCACAGCCACATATTAGGTAGAGCTTGAGAAGTCCTGTGGAGGAATGGGAGTAAGGACCAGAAGAACTAGAGGGGTCAGGGACACAAAAGGAGGACAGAATCCACAGAATCAACTGACTGGGAGTAATGTGAACTCACAGAGATCAGGGAACTTGTAGGGGGCTCTGACCTATATCCTCTGCGTGTATATTATGGCTAAGTAGCGTTGTGTTCTTGTGGAAATCCTAACAGTGAGAGCAGGGGGCTATCCCTGACTCTTTTGCCTATTTGTGGGACTTTTACTCCTACTGGGCTGCCTTGTTCAGTCTTGATTAGATAGTATATGCCTAGACTTATTGAAACTTCTTATGCCATGTTTGGTTGATGGCCCTGGGAGTTCTTGCTCTTTTCTGAGAGGAGGCAGAGGGGCTGTGGGCATGGGGGGAGGAGGAATGGGGGAGAAGGTGTGGGAGGAGAGGGAAGGTAAATTATACCCAGGATGTAATATGTAAAAGATGGTAAAAAAGAAGAAAAAATTTATAATACGAAGTGGAATATAAGTCAAAGTAGACAAGCTTTCAAAGTTTTCTGAGTAAATGTAGAGATATACTTTTATAATTATTCAAGTTTAAAATATATGAAAACCTGGGATATATGATACAGAAAAAGAAGAGTTTGGCTTGATGAGTTCAGGGTTGCTTGTATACCAATGTCTCAGAGGCCGGTCGTGTGGCAATGGTGAAGATGACTCAACAAAAGGAGATAGTATGTGGAAGCAGAGAGTATAGTCCAAGAGGTAAATTTACAGGAACTCAAAGGATGAGCAGGAGGGTTTGACCAACCAGCAAGAACACTTGGGAGACTGAGCTTTGAGAGATAAGATTGGACCTAAGGTTGACTTTTGAAAACTCTGGGTATTGCTGTGTTTTCTGAAGAAATGGAAGTGAAGAGATTTGTGCGGAAGGCCATGAAACAAAAATCCCAAAGCTTGATTGACCGAGGAGCTAGGGAGTAGGTTGGGTAAAACAGGTTTTTTCACCAAGCTGAAAACGTTTGGTGGAGAAGCTGATATGAAGGAAGGAAGGCTGGGGAGATTCAAGTGTAGCAGGGTCATGGGAAGTTGATTTTAGGCACAGGAGTATAGAGTATGTGGATGTTTCTAAACTGAGGGAGTAGAGCTAACAGAAACTGAGGACTCAGTAGAAAAGGTTTACCAGCTGAACAATTACTACAGCAGGCTGGAAAGCAAACTGTTGTGGGTGATGGAGGCAGACTCTGAAAAGTGGAGAGCATGTCTGAGCCTTCAGTGAAAGAAATGGTTTGTGGGCCATGAAAAACTCCCAGTACAGTAATGTGCATGGATAGGGTTCATGCAGTGATTCAACTACCATGGCAAGCTTCTCAATATATCAGTGACCACCATTCGGGGAGTGTTTTCTAAGTATCAACTTTAAGCAGCCTAAGACTAATTCCTTTATGCACTTTGCTTATATTATCTCATTAAAGTTCCCAATTTTATGTGCCTATAACTATTTAAAAGCTTATTTGAATTTCTGGGCTGGCTTGACCTTGTGTAGGACTTGTGCCTCCAGACATAGCCACAATGAGGTGCTACATGTAACAACACTGTAATGTCTAGAAAATATTAAGGCCTAGGTAGCAGTTACCTGGCTAGCCTGGCATTATAAATTATAAGGAAACTTTCTCATATGTTTTTGCTGTTATTAGGAAACTTTTTTCATATTTATTATTTATTTATTATTATTTTTTTAATCAAATCATAATTTTTACTTATTCACACAGGGGTTATAAACATAAAAAGGCAGGATGTGGGGAAGGGGATGACACCAGAGCGTGGGTGTTCAGGGGGAATACAGATATCTTTCAGAACATGGTGTCGGCTGGGTGAAGGTTCAGGGGACAGGTCACTATGACTCTGTCTATCATTCACTTGTCCTTATCTAAGTTGGCATTATCTGCCAAGGCTATCTATTTACAAGGTCTATGACTACTCAGGCTGGTAAATTTCCACAAAAGCTGCCTGTTTACAATAGCTTATAGCCATCTGTTTCAATGTTTTTCCACAGAGACCCAAGACTTGGTGTTAGTATACATGTATGACAGGCCTATTGCTGACTTTAGGCCTTCAGTGTGTAAGCAGGGCTGCCCCTGACATCTCATCCCGTCTCTAAGTATAGAAGGGCTGTGGCAATTCTAATCTTGCAAAGGTGGGGATAGAGGCCCGACCTCCAGTAATTGAAGGGGACTTTGTAATGGCTCCAGTCCCCCTGTCGTTGTCCAGTGAGGCATGAGGGCCATACCCATCCCGATGTCTTTTTCCTGGAGAAGGGATACTTTTGACATCAACCCCTATGCAGTCAGGCTTGTCCCTCAGGGAACCCAGAGAGATATTTTTAACTATTATTTATATTATTAGGAAACTTTTTAATGTCAAGATTGATTACATATTCTGTTATGTTCTCTACCCTTGGAAAACAATCATGATAGAAGTCAGCAGAACTGTTTTATGTAGTTACCCACAATAAGCTTGGACCCAAACTACCCACACAATAGCACTTCCTGCACCTATGGATAAGCTTTTGTAAATTGCTCCTGGGATGGACCCCAATATAAGAGAGACACCTGTACCAATAAAGAAACTATTAGGAATAAGATTGAGTAGTGGTCTAGTAAAGTTTAAGTTCCCAAGATCTCCCTGGGGACTGACATCCTACTTGGCAGAAAGAGACATGCATGTAGGTAACTGACATCCTCGTTGGCAAGTAAGACAGGAATGTTAGAGACGTCCTATCCTGTAGATACGTTAGAATATGAATGTTAAACAAGGCAAATCCCCTGCTACAGTTGAATATCCCAACCAATGGGAGCAGGATAAGTGTACAACAAAGACATGAGCCAAACTTAATCTGATTGCTGTTTACCCTTAACTCAGTCTTAATGCAGGGATTTCTCAACAGGTGCTGCTCTTAAAAACCCTACACCTGCAGCTAGGACCTGCTGGGAAAAAGCTCCACTTCTGGCAGTGAATCAATGTGACAGCAAGCAGGAGGCTGCTTGATCATTAGTACAAGATGCTCTTAAAGGGACACCAAGAGCTTCTCATTTTCTCTGGTAAGAAAGCTGATGACTAATCCTGCTGCAAAAACTTCTGTGCCCATGAGAACTGGGTTCAACAGGTAGCTGAGTGTTCTTCCCTTGAAATTACAACTGGAGAAAGTAAGAAAAAAAATCTTTTGTCTACTTTAAATGAATGTGGTCACTAGATCTTTATTTCTGACCAATCTTAAATGTGTAAGTTTATTATGTTCTATATGTCTTGGTTATACATTATTGGCTTATATGTTATTGGGAATGGTTTTTCCGGCACTCTTCCACAACCTCTGTCTCTTTCAGTCAGCCTTGGTTAGATTTTTGTCAACCTGACACAGGTTAAGATCATCTGGAAAGAGGGAAGCTCAGTTGAAAATATGTCACCACCAGATTGGGCCATAGGCAAGTCTGTGAGGGCATTTTCTTGATTAGTGATTGATATAGGAAGGTCCAAACCACTATAGTGGTTCCAAACCTGAGCATGTGGTTCTGAGTTGTAAAAACACAGCAGGCTGAGCAAGCCATGGCGAGCAAACCAGTAAGCAGTGTTCCTCCACGGTCTCTGCATTAGCTTCTGCCTCCAAATTCCTACCTTGAGTTTCTTCCCTGTTTTCCTTTCATAGTGGATTGTGAATAGATTGTGGATTGTGTAAGCCAAAGAAACCCTTTCCTCTCTAAGTTACTTTTGGTTGTGGTGTTTTTAATCACAACAATAGAAGGCAATTAAGAACATTTTATCTTATCTTCCATGGTAATCTCTGAGCAGTGTGTGTGTGTGTGTGTGTGTGTGTGTGTGTGTGTGGTGTGTATGTGTGATATAGATATTCCATTTATGGCTGAAGACTTCATGATATTTTTATTCTCTACACTCTGACTAGTTGTGAGTCTCTATAGCCATGGCCCTACATCTATACATACACTGGCAGGAATAATTAGGCTTAGTGAGTTACAAAAAGAATACACATGGTTGAAAGCAAGAAGTGGTGAAGGACATTGGAGGAGAGGCAGTGGGGATGGATTTCACCAAAATACATTGTATACATGTATGATATTATTAATCAACAAATAAAAGTGTATTTCAGAAGTCTACTTGTCAGATAGGGAAGCTAAGGCTATGATTGGTGACTAAGATGCTAATCAATATCAAAGATGGAATAAAAACTAGGCTTGTCATAATCCAAGGGCTTATTTTTGAACACTTTATTACAATGAGTAACATCCTACCCCCCCCCCCCGACTCCCACATACCCACACCTGCTACACGGTCCTGGCAGAGTCAGGACCCAGGGATTTTGGCTTAGCCTCATTGCTTTAGTTTCCCAACATCCATATTATGGGTTTTCTACCTATACAGTATGATCCATAAATCTGAGGAGTAGCCCAGAAAGATGCATCTATTCCAGCTCACGTTATGATCTGATCCTGATACTGTGACTCGGATTCAGTGTCCCACACAGCTAGAAGCTCAGAAACAGGGTCACTTTAATTATGCAGCCTTTTTGGGTTTAACTGAATCTTTTTCAGCTGAGGCCAGCTTTGAGAAACACACAGTTTTTTCTGAGAGTGCTTTAGTTTCAGTAAGTGGGTCTTCTTACCTCTACAATGACTTTGGGGTCGAACTGAGGGAGGTGGTGGATGAAGAGTGTGGCTCCTGATGTCCATGGTTCGATCAGGCTCCCCACAGTAGCCAGAATCCATCCTGGGTCTGACATGCACCACAAGACGTCAGATGTCTTCAGGCTTAAAAACTTTCTGCTAACTCAAAAAAACAGTGACTTCAGCTATAGTACCATGGGAATATGTCAGCAAGGGCTGTGAAGACATTCTCAGCCAAGGAATCACCCCTCCCATTCATTTTAAGTGATTTGTGTGGGGGCTCCAGAGTACCAAAGGTTTCCCACCATGTCATACTTCCTGGACACATGTTTCTGAATTTAATTCCCTGCTAATGACCCCCTAGACTTTGCTAGAAAAGCTGGGCCTGCCTGGGTCTTCCTTGTATCTTCCTGGGTCTGAGTCAGTCACTGATATAAGACTTGGTAATTCTGGAAGCATCCGTATAGCAAAAACAGTAGCTATATGGCATGATGAAAGACTAATCTAACTAGAACTGCTTGAAGCCTAACCCTGGACTGCTCTAGGTCCTGAGCTGATAAGTCTTCTATTCACACTTTGGCTTAAGGGGTTTTGACTTTTCATTCTTTGCAATGAGGGGCAATTAGTCAGAGGGTAATAGCCAGAAGATGAAATGGAGGGGGTTCTTGCTTGTCTGCCTTCTCTTGCTCCTGTGTTGGTTAATAAGTTAGAGAATGATGCTCAGTCTGTTCTTAATAATAACAGTTGGAGAAGAAGATAAGAGGTAGAGACAATTGGCTTAATTTATTGAAATGATTCACCAAAGCTTAGATTTAGCTCTCCCCACCTCTCTCACTCTCTCTCATTCTCTCTCATCCTCTCTCCCCCCTCTCCCCTCTCTCCCCCC